AAACTTCCATCACAGGGGAATTTAGCGAAAACAAAAAATTAAGAGAGCTGCCAACATCGCTGCCCTTAATTCAAGAACAGCATAATAATGTGGCTTGTAAAAAACACTCCAAGAAAATGTTGTTGGCTTTCGCTACTTCTCAGAAAACAACTGGGGGGAATCGAGGAATTACTAGAAACAATTAGAATATATACATCTGCAGTGAATAATAAGAGAAATTTAACTGCAAGTACCACAGAGGTAACGCTTTTTTAGGGTTTCAAAACCAAATCCGCTATTTTTCAAACGAGACCGCAACTGATCAACTGGATTTTGAAAAAAAAAAAAACATTATTTCTACAAATTTGGGAAATTTTTGTAATTTATCCTGAGTTAGTCCGAAGATTCTTTTCCGAAAAACTACATAATCAATGAAATGAAAACTCTTAAGAAATTAACAGCAAGCAGTCACTGGCTTGCATTGATGTGTTGCAAAAGGATTAAACGGCAGATATGAGCTGGGAAATGAAGACGGCCGAGCTCGCATCTCCCAACTCCAGCTGCCCTGCGCTCCCACGGATGATGTTTCCTTCGAAAAACCACACAGTTAAAGAAAAAAACGTTTAAATCGGAAGCATAATAAGCAAAATGAGCAGAAGAAAGAATTAGAAGTCCTACAAGAATTAGAAATCCTACAAGAAATCCAAAACAAAAAACAGTACAAGCATAAATTAACAGAAAAAAAAAAAACAATCCAGATGTCTGCCACTGTAGCGAAACTTGGTTTTTGAATTGCCAAAATGAGACCTTCAAATTCGACTTTCGATCTTCCATATCATCGCTATCATTGCTTGCACCAGATGATTTCTGGTCCATATGGAAGGGCTGTTCGTTTGCACTTGAATTTGCCATTGTTTTCGCGTTAATGAAGCCAATTATCACAGATAACAATCACAACATTTTATTTCGGAAACAAAAAAAAAAGCGCAGAATTACAGCGTCTGAAATTCACACAATTTTTTGCAATCATTCGAAAATTTCAAATGAAACATTCGGGTCC